GGGCTTCTATCCAACACCCTTGAAATCAGCATAAATGTTAACACAGATGATTAGACTCCTTTGTGTGTGAAAACCATTAGCAGCTACCTGTCTATTGCCATCTAATAAAGCTGCTTCTTTGTTTCTACTTGAAGAATTTCTCATGTAACTTGGTGTCAACTTAATTTCTGTTACATGTTTTTCTTTTTATTCACGTTCATTATGTCTGATAGCGTTCGCCTAAGTTGTGTAAGTGCCTGCACATTTACCAATTATAATATGATTATAACTCATGATAGTTTTTACATGTGTACAACCTAAAGCTATGGGAGTATTGTCCATGGCAACTCTGACCTAGCTGTTTTTTTCCATCCCCTAATGTTAAAATGCTGGTTTGTAACTTCATGCTGCCCAAGAATATAAACTGTAATAACGTGGAAGAATCAAGACAGAATGTGGATAGAGAGATGGCAACTCTCCAAAGCACACATGCATGCTTTTTCATTGGGGGTGTATATTAAAACAGATTGCAAAAGCTGCAGTGTTTATGGACCCTTTTTCCAATTACTTACTGAGAAGTCTCTGAAAGTCTCCCTCTGTACACGCGCACGCCCAAGCAACATATTTATCTGAGGTCTGTGGACACTGGTCTGAGGTCTGATCTGAGGTATGCAAGAGAGAGGCAGGCATGCTCCTGTAGAGCGTGCTAGCCATTTTTGTTTGCTCCGGGGCACTAACAGAAGCAGGAAGAAACACCCATGTCAGTTTGATTGGCAGCTGGCGGAGTTTCATTAATTATTTATAAAAGTGCTAATTTGTAATAGAAATCTTTTATAACATTTATAATTATAAGATATTCCTGACCCATAAAGCACTTCAGCTTTATGGGTGTGGAGTGGTCCTTAAAATAAAAGAACCTTACCATTATTTTATTTTTGGGTGAATCCCATCAAGCTACCTCTATGTTAGAAGCTAAAAACAAGTAAAAAAACAAACAAACATGTAGGTGATTAGTTTTCATTCACCTTAGTAAACATTATCTTAGCATTGATACAGAATGATCTCTCAAAGTAATGGTTACCATATGCTGATATGTGCAGAAATAAATATTAATCCCTAAACAACATTAGCTCATGCAATTACATCCTAAAAAGCCTTGGCTTTAATGTCATTAGTAGATGATGAGATGGCCTAATGATTTGGTTTAAGCAAAAATTTAAACCTGCGCACACCAGGGACACACACACATATATATATACATATATATATATCAATTTGGTAGCCCCAGACTGACAGATAAGTGCTCTATACAAATTGAGCTCAGTTGCAGTAATTCTTACGCTGCCTTGAGGCTGACGGAGAGCCCCAGGGTCTGCATTACCTGGCATTTGGGATCTGTGCTGGGGTTTACCAGCTGGCCAGCACTGATCACTCAGGGAGATCAGCTGAGGCAGCATGCCAGAACATCATCTCTACTGGGAGATATTCCTATCATGCTAAAAACAGAATGTAGATGGCAGTCACAGACCCTTCTCTACTCTTCTATCTTAGAATTCCCTCTGCTGATTAAGGTCAGATTTACATACCAGGCGCCTGTAGGCACACAATTCTGAGGAACCCCTGCTCCTCATCCCCATAATGAGCAGATTAAGTATAAATAATTAACTGGATATTGCAGGCCTAAAAACATCTAAACAAATACATATTCATACTTGACAGATTTAATATGTATAAATGTATGTATGTATGTGTATATTTCTGCTAAACTTGTAACGTGCTTGCTGGGGCAGTGCTCCACACTGTGCATTACTGACATTCAGTGTCTTCACCCACTGCATGGAGACACTGCACTTTCCTCATAAAGGTGCATTGATTCAATAATATCTATGAGGAAATGCTGATTGGCCAGAGCTGTGTTTGGCTTGTGCTGGTTCTGACCCTGATCTGCCTCCTTGTCAAGCCCAGCCAATCAAATGCTTTCCAATGGGAAAACATTGCAATTGGCTCAGATCATCACTTCTGATGATGTCAGACAAGGAGGCAGATCAGGGGCAGAGCCAGCAGCAAGAGATTGGAATAAAGGTGAGATTTTACAATATTTAGTTGGGCAAGGGCAAGGGCAAGGACAAGGGAGGGGGGCTAGATAGTGTTTTAACACTATAGGGTCAGGAATACATGTTTGCGTTCCTGACCCTATAGTGTTCCTTTAACCCCTTAAGGACCAAACTTCTGGAATAAAAGGGAATCATGACATGTCACACATGTCATGCGTCCTTAAGGGGTTAAAGTTGTGTTTTAAACCCTGTTTAGGATTATTGAGTCTATTAATAGAGTTGTGTTTATTGTACTGGTGTTTTATTGTACTGGTGTAAGGTGTTTCGTTTTTAAGAGAAGTTCAACAAAGGATTAAGATAAAGTGTTTATTTGAAGTTTTAGGCTTTGAGTGCTGGAATTTGAAGGGTTATTTGCACAGTACTCACCCTCCTATCTCTTATGTAGACCAGTCAGATTGATGATCTTAGAGCTACATTACTGGTTATACAGTGTGCATCACTCAGAGCTTCCCCTGCGTCTTTTGCAAGGCATTTCCTGTGTGCGAGGTTACTAGTGACACACACACACACACACAGCCACTGGAGGATCTGGGAGACCAAGTTTTACACCCTCTATAATTGTTCCTGTAGTTCTGCTATTAAGGCTAACTGTACTGCAGAGGATACTGGCAAAGGCTCCTGGTACTTATTTCCCCACCATCCTATTTAAGCTCAAAAGGCACATTATAAGTGCGGGGAACAGCAGAAAGAATCCCAAGTTTCCCCAGAGGTTTCAGGAGACTCCCACATTTTGAATGTGGCTCCCTGACACCTGCAAATCATATACAATATCCTGGAAATCACACAATCTGATATACAATATATGTCAGATTGTGTATGTAATTTTCAGAGCATTGTATATGATTTGTGCCCTTTAAGAGCCGACCAAGCCCGTGTAGTATCGGGTGTGTGTGTGTGTGTGTGTGTCTTGGTCATGTCAGGTAAGAGGCTTATGACAGGGTTAACATTTGTGTGTGTGTGTGCCAGTGCTTATCTGTATGTCAATATTTGTATCTGAGTGTATGTGCCAGTGTGTGTATATGTGTGTCAGTGGGTATCTGAGTGTGTGTGTGTGTCAGTGTGTATCTGAGTGTGAGTGTATGGGCCAGTGTATTCCCGAGTGTGTGTTTCCCTTTGTATCTGTGTTTCAGTGTGTATCTGAGCATGTGTGTGTATGTGTCAGTTAGTGCATCTGTGTGTCAAGGTGTTCATACATATTAGGTGGCTGTGTGTTTGTGGGGGGGGAGGTGGCACAATAGCTGATTAAGGTTAGGTGTAAGGTTAAAATAGGTATATGGTAGAACTAGTGTAAGTATATGGGTATACTGAGGGATGGTATAGGGTTAGTGCTAACTACCAAAATTAATACCCTAAACATATGAGGCATTTAACACTCAAGAGTGAAACATTAATCTAGTTCAAATTATTTTTGTTTAGTTGCAGTTGATGTGTTGAAGTTTTTTTCAATATATTCAAATTTTTAACAGTTTATTCATATGTAATGTTCTGTTAGGTATACTGTGGCAAACCTAGCCACTTAAGACTATTCTTTTATGTATAAGGGTTGCCCTGGAGAATTGATATATGGTATTTTATGTTGTTCGATTAAATATGTGATAGAGAGCATTCGTATGCTAGTGGCGCGAAAGCCGCTAGCATTCCTATGGTAATTTCAACAAACAGTGACTTTCAACACTGTTCGTGAAACGAACAAAGTACCGAATGGGAGACCACACACAGGGGTTCGTGTGGCTCCCATTAACAGATTGCAACAATGTATCTATCCTCTGCTAATTGATTTGCAGGGTGGCCGCCGTTCGGATACCGACCACGCGGCAGCGGCCATTTTGGATCCCCTTTTAGCCCAGCAGTGTTTGGTCGTCGTGAGCCTGGAACTAAAATCGGCTGCTCGACGGCACGAACACCGCTGGACTTCCAGAACGTTTGGGACCACCGGTCCTTCTGTAGTTTCATACCAATGTACCTCTCGCTACATATACATATAGGTTATTAAAAGAAAACCCTTTCTGTCCTTTAAAAAAAAAAACAGCATTAATTATGTATTGGTGTACTTAAAGAGAACATCTTTAAATTACAGTGGAACAAATACATAGCACAAATGTTAGGATTTATTGGGGTTCAGACAATTCCCTCCACCCTTAAGGGGTTAAGGAGTGGAACTGCAAAGCTATAGTTAGTAAAGAAGTGCACTGTATGATTTAAGTACCAAAACAGGAGAATGTAGCTATTGTTATACAGTAAATGGAAGAAAAAAAAACAAATTTTGATCCACATTTCATTTTTCATCTTTTTCTTAATTTTCTCCATCACTCTTCTCAATTTTCTGTTTTTCACAGTATCCTGTATTTCTTATGTTTCTCCTTTCTTCTTTACACAATTTTATTTCCCCCTTTTCTACAAAGTTTCTAAACTCTGCTTGCTATATAGAATCCCCTAGTTTCTATACCTTCTGCTTATATCATCATATGAGCAGCAATAACATTTTTATAGCATCTCCAGTCTGTAAAAAGCAAGCCCTCCATTTTTTTCTGAAACGGTCAGTTACTTACTAAACCAAAAATGATTGAGAATTGACAGAAAGTATATCCAACAAGTAGTATATCTTTGCACTTTGCTATACTATTGATTTCTTAAGTATTACAAAAGAAAATGATATGGAAGCTGTATTGACATATCAATGATTCATACACATTTATGAATGGTGTGCAAATATTTGATCAGCATGGGATACTTCAACCTCCATATAAAACATTACAAAACACTTCAGTAGAATTAAACTAAGACAATATCTGTCTTGCACAACATCAGATACACTGACAATTTAAGAAAAAGTGTATAAAACAAATTACTTTGTCACTGCCGTATTTATCTTTTGTTCTAAGATCTACTTTTCACAGACATTTGAGAAGGAAGTGTAGAGGAATGCTACATTAGAAAAACAAGATGTCTTAGTTAGACAGCTGAATTTGTCTCTTTGATGGGATGCTGATATCTTCAGCAATCTTACTCTCCAAATGTCATTCATATCTCTTTGCTGCTTCTGTGAGTAAAAGGAAACTGTACAAGGCTGTTCTTGAACTAGTGCTTTAGAACAGTTTATTATCCTTGTTCCTTCTCGATGCTCCAAATAGAAGTGGTGCCATGGACATCATATTTGGGGCTCTGACTATGAACCATAGAAAAAAATCCATTGCAACCCCTTGAAGATCTTCTGGATAGGGTGCTGTGCCAAAGAAGGCACACGATTAATAGAAATGATTGATGTTAATGCACTTAGCAGATGTCCTTCAGAATGATGTTGATAATGCATCAGTGGAGAGCACACCTGGTATCAGATTGAATGACTCTCTTTCCTTTTCTTGAATGACTGCAGAAGAGTTCGTACTAGCTTTCTTTGTTATTGTAGCTGTTTTACCTTCTAGCCAATATGTCACCATATCTCCTTTCCCCTGCAGAGACAAATCGGAAGTTAGTAAATGCAAAGGATATGTCAGTTTTATATCATTACATGTTTTTAATAACTTTGTGCCTGCGGCTATAAAGCTATACAAACTCCAAATAAGAGACTGGCTATCTTAATCTGGTGTTCAAACAGATTTTACTTTGGCATGACAAAAATATTTATAAACTTTTTGTCATCTTAATATGTTTTTTTACCTTAGGGTATAAACTATTAGCAATTTTAAACTGGATGGACGGACAGACAAAGGGATAATTTCCTTCCTACAGATCTTTTTACAATCTTCATATATCTAGACTACAATAACCTGAATATTATTCCCTTATTTACTCTTTGACAAGTACCACATATTATTAAATTAACCACATGTTAATTACAAAGAACATATTTTTCCTGCTATTTTTTTCCTTTCTTCAACATTTTTTTTAAATAAATCTCCTATATACAATAAACTGTACCTGCTGTTTTATAAATCCCATTTCTCCTTTAGAATAAAATTTAGTGCTCTGAAAACCATCTGTACCAGTTTAATTTTGTCTGTCAGTCTACACTTTGTTGTATAATTTTTTTTAACCAAATAAAAATAAATCTATATCTACAATTTAAATAAATATTGAAAAACAAATATTCACTGTTTAAACTAAAACATACTAGACATAATCCAAAAAGTACATACAATACAAATGTACTATTCTATGCACACATTTTGCATGTACCTTAACTTGCAGTGACCCACGACATACAAGAACGTAACCACCAATTTGTTTCAAGAGATCATGAGTACTGGAGCTACACTGTATTTTTAGTGCTATAAGAAAAGCATACCGTTAATGATCCATCCACTTAAACACATATATGTAAAATAAATTTAGTTAATTACAAATGAAAAAAAACTAAGGCAATACAGTTTGCACATTACACTCTAAGGATAATTTAAGCAGCATTTAACATTTCAAGATGCCTCTCGGGTGTTGCTCTGTATAAAACAGCTGAGACATTCCAAAGGAGGAAAAAGATGGTGCGTACTAATTCTTGCTGCATGGATCATTTATCTGTGACAGGTGGGGTGAATGTTTCATGTAAGGTTTTAAGGATTGCCAACGTGACTGTCACCAGCCACTTCTCACTTCACATTGTACTATCAGAAACTTAGAAAATACGTCTGGCCAGATGGCGTCAACACATGTATGGAAGAAAGATTAAAAGAGAAATTGTGGGGGTTTTTTTTCTAGTGGCTTCCTTCTTTCACCTACTTACATATGTCACAGATATACCCACTGGGACTAAATATTGCATCTAATCTGTTGAAGAGGCTAAACTGGACATATATTAAAAAGGAAAACTGAATTTTAAACCAATCTCTCTAAATGTCAGATCCAAAACAATCACAGTTCTTGAAACGCTAATCTTTGAAATGAAATCATCTCTGTGGTTGGAAACAACACGTAATATACCTAAAATATTTTAGGAACAAAAGAACCACTTAAGGAAATGCACATATTGCAATTTAAAGCTGCATGTGACAAACACATGCCAAGTAGAGGTCAGTGTCCATTATAAAAATGAACACTATATACATGGCACGGTTTATCCTATCCTGTACTTTCCAATTCTAAGCATCTCTTGTGACTTGTTACATTTTTAACAGTCACATAAAATTTACATTATCTATATGAATTTGACATTCATATTTATCTTTGCTTTTGGTAGTAGCTATTGTGTTGATGTCATGGTTTGTGTTCCAGTGGTGTTAATATTCTTCTTTCTTTTTACGCAGGTCTCTGCATATATGTACCCAACTATCACGTCGATTTAGTAGAACCTCATTTATTTATTGGCGGCATTGCAGCAAGTTATTTTAAAATGAAGGCCAGCACTATCACTCTCAAATCTTAAAGGTCAACTGTCACCAAAAAGTTATTTTACAGAAAATGAAACCTTGACTCGAGCTTTGAAACATTTTATGAAAAACTTCTAAACCAAGCATTTGTGAATTTAGTGAAAAACCGCTGCAAGCTGGTCTCAAACCCATAATTAGCTCCCATCTTGCTGTTTCTTTGGTGTAACTCCACATCTAATTGACCATACTGTGATTGGTCAGCCAAATCAATGTAACTGTGCCCTAACCCATAACATTATTAACTTTGCTGCATAGCATGTAAACACTAGCTCCGGCCCCACAACACTGTAACACTGCCCTATAGTATATAGTTGCTGTCAGCGGCTCGAGAGAAAAAGCAGCCATTTTTTACAATGAAAAAAATCTGTTGAGAGGTAGAATAATTGGAGGTAGAGAAGATGCAGAGGGGTGGCATACAGGCAGAACAGAGGCAAACAAACAGGGCTCTTTAACTGGAGACATGTTTTAGGAGGAGGTGATAGAGGCAGAGAGGGGAAGGATGGAGTGGTAGAGTTATAATGTTTGGGGCTTGGGTACAATTAGTACAAATAAATCATTCAGTACTACAGTAAAGTGCAGCAAGATGCACTTTTTTACTTTTTACTATTTATTTCTATGCTCAACAGTGCTCAAGCTATGCTCTTTTATCCCAAACTGTGAAGTGTTCACCTTAAACATAGCTATGTACATCTTTATTGTTGGCTGACCCTGAGCTTCAATTAGTAGTAAAGCAATTTAATATACTGGTATTGCAACTACGAAAATATACTCATAAAAAAGAGCAATGATAAAACAAACCACAGGTTTATAAAATAAAAGTACTATATTTACTTTACTCTAATTATTATTATGATATTTATAGAGCGCCGTCAAATTCTGCAGCGCTTTACAATGCGCCATTGAATCTAATGTGCACCTCAATTTGAAATTTGACTGTGTGAATTCGCATGTGTGAGTTCGCCTGTGTGAATTTGTCAGAATGAAATTTGCCGGAATACAATACGCCGAAAAATTTAGTATTTTGCCCTGAATGTAATGCGCTATCGAATCTAATGCACATTCAAATTTTGGGAACTTTGTATTCTAAAAAAGGTGAGCATTACATTTGAGTAAATACAGTATATTGAAAAAAAAAATAACCTAACATGTAGCCTAATTACAAAAAGTTTTAGTTCCTGTACGGATATTAGAAAAAAATAGAACTGCTTTGAAATCCTAGAGTGAATTGCTGTACAGGAATGGAAGTGTATCAAAACAGTATAAGCACACGTTACCTTCACTTGTCGATTCCATTCTTGAAGCTGTGTTCACTGTGTCTCCAAACAAACAGTACCGAGGCATTTTGGTTCCAACAACCCCAGCAACTACTGGTCCTGAGAGATATATAAAAATAATAGTGGATAAAAGTAACCATAATCATAATCTTCTTATTTAACCAGCTCTATTATAATTTAATCAGCTATACCATGTTTATAACTGTCTGAGAGCTTTGTAAATTGTCATTCCAACTAGTGACTGGAATAAATGTTATACAGTATGTGCAATTCTACTTGCCATGTATCAAAACATGTAGTTCATATAAACATCATTGTATCATTCCTGGTAAATCATTTTAGAAACAACTGAAAGGAGAAAATGTCTCACTCTATTTCTATTAAAATACATCAGCAAGCGATATTCATTCTTAATGCTAGACATATGTTTCTTTCCTATTTAATTTTAAGCATGTTTTCTTGTGTTGCTCCTCAGTTGATCATACTATAGTTTAATTAATTTAAATGTAATTATTGAAAATTTAAAGGGACACTATAGTCACCCAGACCACTTTCGCTTAATGAAGTGGTCTGGGTGCCTGGTCCCTCAGGTTTTAACCCTTCACATGTAAACACAGCAGTTTCAGAGAAACTGCTGTGTTTACATTTGGGGTTAATCCAGCCTCTAGTGGCTGTCTTCCGGACAGCCACTAGAGGCGCATCTGCAAAGCTGGAGGCGAATTTCGCCTCCATCGCGCAGGGCATCCATAGGAAAGCATTAACAAATTGCGGGCATACGTCGGACGGGGGAGCTAACGTCGGATGGGGAGGAGATGTCACCAGCGCCGAGGGAGCCTGGCACTGGATTAAGGTAAGTGGCTGAAGTGGGGGCACCCTCAGGGCACTATATTGTCAGGAAAACCGCTTTGTTTTCCTGACACTATAGTGATCCTTTAAAAATATATTTGGACTTTTCTGGTACTTCTTGATCACCATGAATTATATTGACATAATACGAATGTATACTTAATGCTTTGTTTATGTTCTTGCTGGTTTCGTAAGAAGGAATATAGCCTTGACACTCGAACCCTAACACCGTTGTCATTGTCGATAAAACAGCAGATACATTACATGCAGTCTCTAATGCCTGCAGAATGAAAACTGTACAGTTCCGATTATCGTAATAACAATAATTTAAATGCAATGTCACATCATATTCTGTACAATGATTATACGAAATGTAATTTATAAGAAGCATATTGTAATAAGAGATGTCGAGTTTACATTGTGAAGGAAATGGGTTATAATTATATACAATGTAAAGCAATATGCATCTCTCTATCTGAACACATAAAGAGAGTAGTGACTAAAATGCATTCAGACACGCCACTCAGACTGACATCCTGCATGTTTTTAAACCAGTGTAATGACTGTAAAAAGCTCCACGGGATCTGATATGTTGCCTGATGTCATACAAGCTCAAAGATACCGTCATGCACAAGGCCCGCAGCAGGCAGACCTGGGACTTTCAGGGTACACAGGTACCTGTCACCACTTACCCTGGAAGCTAGGAGTGTCAGGTTACCTGTTGGTGTTGCCTCCGAGGAGGAGATCCTCTCTTCATAGGGGCTCCCCTCCCCTAACATTTCGGCAATTCCGGCCGTTTTCGCGCCGGCCACGCTAGCTCCTCCCCCTTTTATGACGCGACGGCTAGTGTCGACGTCATGACGTCATCATTAACGTGAAGTGCCGGGAACCGCAATTCCGGACCTTTTGGGGGCGTGGTCTCAATTAAGGTGACAGGGTATTTAAGGGAACTTTTACTACTGCTCATTGCCCTGTCGTGGTTCTAGCTTGCTAGTCACTCAACGCGTTCTCTCTCTTGGTGTTTTTGGTTTTGACCTTGCTTGTACTTTGTCCTGTTGCTCTCTCCTCTCCTTTGACCCGGCTTGTTCCTCGCTTACCTGTCCTCCGGCTCCCTCGACCTCGGCTTACCTTTTGACTATTCTTGTTTTGTCCATACGTTAGTCCGGCCATTCTAAGGTCCGGTATACGTACCTCCTCCTGTCCGCACTCTGCGTATTGGATCCCTGTCACTATCCTGACATTACGACAGGGCCAAATGGATCCTGCAGGTGCTAGTCCTCCTGACCCCAGATTTGAGGCCATAGACCATAGAATGGACCAAATGGCTCTAGCGTTACAAACTTTGCTAGCACGTCCCAGTACCCAGTCAGAAGAAATACGTTCTACAGCTAGCCACCCGCTAAGTACTGGTTTGGAAGTAGCCACTGTAGGCGCATCTTCCCATGTCACTTCCCCGTTACGTTATGGGGGTTCGCCTGATGCTTGTCGAGGTTTTTTAAACCAGATAAGCATACATTTTGAACTTCAACCCCGGGCTTATCCTACTGACAGGGCTAATGTAGGCTTCATTATAACACTGCTAATAGACAAAGCACTTAGATGGGCCAATTCCCTTTGGGAGAATGATAGTCCTTTAGTCTACAATTATACTGCTTTTGTCACAGCGTTTAGAAGGACTTTTGACCCCCCAGGAAGGAAGATTAATGCTGCCAGATCTCTGTTACGCCTTAAACAACAGAATAGAACCCTTGTAGAATATGCATTAGAGTTTAGATCACTGGCAGCAGAGGTGAAATGGAACGAACAAGCTTTTATGGATGTATTCTTGAATGGGTTGTCTGATGAGATTCTAGATGAGATTGCCACAAGAGAACTTCTGGAAAATTTAGAAGATTTAGTGTCTTTCATTTCCAGAATAGATGAACGCATGAGACAGAGGCAGAATACGCGGGAAAAAGTTAGTAGACCTCCTGTAAGACTCGCTCCCTCCTTTCAGAACCCTGACTCCTATAATCCTACTCCACCAGAACCTATGCAAATAGGTAGTACTCGCTTATCTGAGGCCGAGAGACAGTACAGAAGAAGGGAGGGTCTCTGTTTATACTGTGGGCGGAGAGGTCACCTACGTCTTAGTTGCCCTAATCGCCCGGGAAACGCTCGCACCTAAGTTCCCCTAGAGGACGGGCCTTGGGTGTTTCTATACTGTCCTCTATGTATAATGATAAAGACCATAGGCTTCTGATTCCTGTCTCCCTAGCTTGGAAAAGTGGTACTATATCTACGATGGCGTTGTTAGACTCTGGAGCAGCAGAAAGCTTTATAGACCAAACTTTCACTAATAAGCATTGTCTCCCACCGTTGAGGCCATAGATGGTAGACCTTTATCTGAACCAGTAATATTCCATGAGACTAAACCCGTTAAACTTACTATTGGTATCCTCCACGAGGAGATGATTTCCCTCCTGTTAATATCCTCCCCGGCTGTCCCAGTGGTGCTAGGATATTCTTGGCTCAAGAGACACAACCCTCAGATTGACTGGGAGGGTGGAGAAATCGTTTCTTGGGGAACTGGTTGTAGAGAAAGATGTCTGCAGAGAGTCACTTCTGTTTGCCCAGTAAACTCTTATACCAACTCTTCCCAATCCACAGACGTTCAGATACCATCTCAGTATCTAGATCTCAAGTCTGTATTTGACAAGAGTAAGGCGGATACTTTACCTCCCCACCGGTCTTATGACTGTACTATTAAACTTTTTCCTGGTACTATGCCTCCTAGGGGTACGGTATACCCTCTGTCTACCAAAGAAAACTTAGTTTTAGAGGAATACATCAAGGAAAATCTAGACAAAGGATTTATTAGAAAGTCTTCTTCTCCGGCGGGGGCGGGGTTCTTTTTTGTAGAAAAAAAAGACGGTACCTTACGTCCTTGCATAGACTATCGTGGATTGAACAAAATTACCATCAGGAATGCTTACCCCATTCCTTTGATTACTGAACTCTTTGACAGACTAAAGGGCTCCAGTATTTTTACCAAACTTGACTTGAGAGGAGCATATAACTTGGTGAGAATTAAACAAGGAGATGAATGGATGACAGCATTTAATACCCGTTACGGACATTATGAGTATACCGTAATGCCGTTTGGGCTATGTAATGCCCCGGCCGTCTTCCAAGACTTGATTAATGAGATCCTTAGAGAATTTCAACACGAATGTGTGATTGTATATTTGGATGATATACTAATACATTCTAGGGACATTGACTCACATCACAGACAAGTCAGAAAGGTATTACAGAAACTTTTACAACATGGATTGTATTGTAAATTGGAGAAATGTAGCTTTGATCAGTCTCAGGTAACTTTCTTAGGCTACGTAATTTCCAAGGACGGGTTTATGATGGACCCGATCAAACTAAAATCGATTTTAGATTGGCCTTTACCCAAGGGACTCAAAGCCATACAAAGATTTATTGGATTTTCTAATTATTACAGACGTTTCATTAAAGGGTACTCCTCTGTTATCGCTCCTATCACTAATATGACTAAACAAGGAGCAGATACCAAAACGTGGTCTACTGAGGCGTTATCTGCTTTCGAAACGCTCAAACAGACTTTTGCTTCAGCACCTGTATTAGTTCATCCTGATACCTCTCTGCCCTTTTTGCTTGAAGTTGATGCGTCTGAAACAGGGATAGGCGCAGTATTGTCCCAAAGACAAAGTTTAGATAAGCCGTTGCACCCTTGCGGTTTTTTTTCCAAGAAATTATCACACACTGAAAGGAGATATGATATTGGTGACAGAGAACTCTTAGCTATTATTATGGCATTAAAGGAATGGAGACATTTGTTAGAGGGCACTGTTCTCCCAGTTACTATCTTGACTGATCACAAAAATTTATCTTACATGGGGGAGGCCAAAAGATTATCTGCCAGGCAAGCACGTTGGTCTATGTTCCTTACACATTTCAATTACATACTTACTTACAGGCCTGGTTCTAAAAACACCAAAGCAGACGCATTGTCTCGTCAGCACGAACCTATCACCATTACAGAAGACACTTTGTCTCCTATTGTTCCTGAAAACAACATTATCGCCAACACCAATGTCAAGATACACTCTCCATTGCTCGTAGATATAACGAACGAACAATCTCTTGCTCCCGAGCGTACTCCTGAGGGCCGCTTATTCGTGTCTCCCAAATTCCAAGTGGACATTATTCGTTGTTTTCACGATAGCAAGTTTGCCGGTCACCCCGGCATCCACAAAACTTGCTGCTTGATTTCCAAAGACTTCTGGTGGCCTAGTTTACGGAGGGATGTGGAAGACTTTGTCAAGGCCTGCGATATCTGTGTCAGGAATAAAACTACCACGGGATCTTCCTTGTGGTCTATTGCAGCCCTTAGTCATTCCCAACAAACCTTGGGCTAGTTTGGCTATGGATTTTATTGTTGATTTGCTGGTTTCCAATAGACACACTGTTATCCTCACGGTTCTTGACAGGTTTACCAAAATGGCTCATTTCATCCCCTTGCCTAAACTTCCTTCCTCACCCGAACTGGCCGTGATATTTGCTAGGGAGATTTTTCGTTTGCATGGTATTCCCAATGAGATTGTGTCTGACAGGGGTCCCCAGTTTATTTCCCGTTTTTGGAGATCCTGCTGTTCCCAGGTGGGCATCAAGCTGAATTTTTCTTCGGCCTATCATCCTCAATCTAACGGAGCAGCCGAACGCACTAACCAGAAAATTGAGCAATATCTACGTTGTTTTGTTTCTGAACACCAGGACGATTGGGTCGGTCTGATTCCTTGGGCGGAGTTTGATCACAACAACCTTGTTTGTGGTTCCACTCGTAATAGCCCCTTTTTCTTGAACTATGGCTTTAACCCTACTATTCTTCCGTCGGTGTCTCCTTCCCAGGGTTTACCGTCGGTTGATGTTCATATAGCCAACCTGAGAAAGTTGTGGGATCAGACTCGACAAATTCTTACGCGTAGTTCCGCGGTGTTTAAGATGCATGCTGATAGGCGTAGACGGCCCGCTCCTGTTTTTTCTCCGGGTGATAGGGTCTGGTTGAGTACCAGACACATTCGCTTGAAAGTCCCTTCCTTGAAGTTTGCTCCTCGTTACATAGGTCCTTACAGAGTGTTGAGGAGGATCAACCCGGTTTCTTATTTGCTGGACCTGCCTCCTACTCTACGTATCCCTAACTCTTTTCATGTGTCTTTATTGAAACCTCTTGTTTGTAACAGGTTTTCTTCCCACTCTGCTCCTCCATCTTCGGTTCGAGTGGATGGTCAGGAAGAATATATTGTTAGGTCCATTCTTGATTCTCGTATTTCTAGGGGGAAGTTACAATACCTCATAGACTGGAAGGGTTATGGTCCAGAAGAGAGATCTTTGGTTCCTTGTGAAGACGTGCATGCTCCTCGTCTTCTTCGGGCCTTCCACGTTCGTTTCCCTTCTAAGCCCGGTCCCATCCGCCCGGTGGGCGTTTCTAAAAGGGGGGGTACTGTCAGGTTACCTGTTGGTGTTGCCTCCGAGGAGGAGATCCTCTCTTCATAGGGGCTAACATTTCGGCAATTCCGTCCGTTTTCGCGCCGGCCGCGCTAGCTCCTCCCCCTTTTATGACGCGACGGCTAGCGTCGACGTCATGACGTCATCATTAACGTGAAGTGCCGGTAACCGCAATTCCGGACCTTTTGGGGGCGTGGTCTCAATTAAGGTGACAGGGTATTTAAGGGAACTTTTACTACTGCTCATTGCCCTGTCGTGGTTCTAGCTTGCTAGTCACTCAGCGCGTTCTCTCTCTTAGTGTTTTCGGTTTTGACCTTGCTTGTACTTTGTCCTGTTGCTCTCTCCTCTCCTTTGACCCGGCTTGTTCCTCGCTTACCTGTCCTCCGGCTCCCTCGACCTCGGCTTACCTTTTGACTATTCTTGTTTTGTCCATACGTTAGTCTGGCCATTCTAAGGTCCGGTATACGTACCTCCTCCTGTCCGCACTCTGCGTATTGGATCCCTGTCACTATCCTGACAAGGAGGGCACTCCGACCAGTGACCACTGCTTTACAAAAACGCAGAATACCTTACAGATGGGGCTTCCCGTTCTGCCTGTCTGTACGCCACCAGAATGAATGGCTTTCTGTTCGGTGGCCAGAAGACACGCCTGCATTCCTGCAGCGACTGCAGCTCCCGCTTCAGACCATCACCAACTGGGTTCTGGGGCCCTTGGACCATAGGTCCCATCTGCAGAAAGCAACGCGTCGCAGTAGGGAGGACTCTTTGGCGGGCCCTCCTCCCTGACGACACCCAGATCCTGGACGCGTGGAAAAGTAAGCAATTTCTAAGGTATACTGGGGGCCCCGTGTCTATGTATGTCCTGAGTTTGAGGCCCTGGTGGGGGGAAGCACTTTATTGGGATGGGGGACGGGTGCAGTGCCCCACACATTGGTGGTGGGGGGAATTTGCGTCTTCACATTGATGCCTACCAACAATGACAGGGCACAGGCTATAAGACATCGGGTCGCACCCAATTTACAACCATACCGCACCTATCCCGGGGAGTTCCTTGTTCAATGTTGGGAGAGGGAAGGGTCCGGGCAGGGGGGGAATGGACGGTTGGCATAGTGTAGGACTTGATCTTTCCACCCCCAATTTTGTTACATCTGGGATGATGGACCATTTCCTAGCAGGATCCGACACTCCTCAGCCCACGGTAGCCAAACCCTGAGCCACTGGTTTCGCTCCATTCCCGAGGGATAGGGACTACATGCACTATTCGGCGGTACAGGAGCGGTATGCGCAGATAGATTACTTATTCATGCAACAGGAACATCTCACAAGGTTACTCTTGGCGACAATAGCTGCTTCCACCTGGTTGGACCACTGCCCAGTCTTAATTACATTGGAATCTCCCTTATTGAATCCGACGGAATAGACCTGGCAGCTAAATGAATCCCACCTGCTGGATCTAAATGTCAAAGATCAAGTGGAAGGCGAGCTAAGCCTGTACTTCGAAAAGAATGACACCGATGGCATGTCCCCTCTCACGCAGTGGGAGACACACAAAAGTGTTATCAGGGGTTGCCTGATAGGTATCGCCACCAGAAAGAAGAAGGAGGCGGCGCAACAACACGAAGACCTGTCGAATCGCATTGCTCAACTGGAGTCCCAACATAAAAGATCTCTCTTAGACTCGGTATATGCGGACCTCCTGGAGGCACGCCGCTCGCTTACTGATCTTCTGACACGCAAACATTTCAGAGGCGTCCATTTGGCCTGAATGCTCCGTGGCCCCAGACAACACACACAGATCCACAGGCTCAAGTTGAGACCCTGGAAAGTATCAGCATTCCCAAATGAGATTGCAAAAGAATTCCAGGTGTTTCACACCAAGCTATACAGTACCTCGGGGGACCAGAGCAGGCTCCTGACACAGGAACACACAAATGCCATACAGAATTATCTAGGTAAATACAAACCTAATCGGATTTCCAATGAGGCAGCAGAACTACTGGATGCGCCAATAGAGGAGGAAGAAATCCTGGCAGCAATAAAGGTCGCCAAGACTGCAAAGGCCCTGGCCAGATGGCCTTTCAATGCATGCTACAAGCAGTTCTCACATCTCTTAACCCCGAGGCTAACTAAGGCATTAAATGCGCTACCAGAAGGAGGAGGGTCCCACAGTGAATCCCTGGCCGCCACAATCATGCGGAAGCTACCGACCAATTTCACTCCTGAATGTGGATGTCAAACTGCTCACGAAACTGCTGGCCACTAGGATGCAGCCGCACTTGCCATGGCTCATACACCCAGACCAAACCGGATTTATCCCAGGCAGGGAAGCTAGGGACAGTACCCTACATCTCTTCGCGTTACAACAGCTCGCACGCAAGGACAAACACAGGTTGTTGCTCTCCACGGACATCGAGAAGGCATTTGATCGAGTGAACTGGGCCTTCATGTTCTCCACGTTGGCCGTGATTGGATTCGGCGGCAAACTCAGGAGCTGGATAGCTGCAATATACAGCTGCCCCAATGCAAGAGTGAGAGTAAACGGAGCATGTTTAGTAATTTCCTTTTTAGGAACAGGTTATTTAGTCCTCTATTACATTATATGTGAGACAAGGCAAGTTCAATGTTAACCCTTTATGTATTATTGCATTGACTGCCTACATGACCCTTCTAAGGAAGGACCTCCCACCTTCAGTATGATGTCATAACATGTTACTTAGGGATTCCCTCAGAGTGTGGCTATATATACCCAGCAAGCACCCGATATTGATCAGTCTTGAAAAAGTCTCAAGTGGAGACGAAACGCGTAGACTATCGGGTCTCGCTTTCCTACTACACCCTTCTTACAGCACGTTACCCTGGAAGCAGATTACGGCATCGTTTACACTTACTGATATCGAGAGCGGGATTCATCACCCGTCGGGCTTTCTCAGTGTGCTCCCTTCCTCCGACATTTGGCACGCGAACAGGATAAGTCGTTGGGGATTTTCTCAGTGTTTTAGACAGACTTGGGCATTCCCCTTCTGCACCCTTAGCCATCTCCATCTTGCTGGACGGGTTTAGAAGCTCCAGTACTACCCCTGGTCGGTGATCCCCTTTATATTGATTTTTCTATCAGTCTTCACATTAGATTGCATGGTATACAGTTTTGTGGATCAATTACAGCATCCGTTTTTTTCGGAGATTGCTCCAGAGGGAGGGCCACCCTGCTGGAGTTTACACTGAGACCTTTTTATCCAGACTTGTGTATCTTCCTGAACTATAGAGGCCATAATTAGACCGACACTTATGTATCAGTGATTGATGTGTATTGTTTTAATATGTATCCGATGTTTAGTACACTTATTTTATAAATCAATAAATGTATTTTGTACACTCTCATAGTAGTTCAGACGGCTTTATGAATTGTTTACCCTGATTAATTCATTCTTGGAGTTGTTTATATAGAATTCTTTATTGTTCCTATTGTTATATTCAATTCTTTTTAGTTTACAAATCGTGTATTTACTCATTGGATTGAATTTACACTTTTTAAATTGATTTTGTCTTTCACTTGATTACCTCTGAGAGATAACGGTCAATGGACATCGGTTGGTTTACACACAGCTTTATCTGATGGAATATATTTAGTATACATAAGAGTCATATTACTCTCCCGTAATTGGTACGTGTTTAGGGTTATTTTGGAGCGCTCACACACACCCTTATTTTATTTGAGGGTCAACAGAGCCCTGACAAGTGGCTTCCTGATACTTAATGGCCCAAGACAAGGATGCCCCCTGTCCCTCTTGCTTTTCTCGATCTCGCTTGTGCCATTTCTCATGGCGGTCAGACAAACCCGAGACATAAGGGGATACCAATGGGAGAACATGGAACATAAGGTAGCTGCATACGTGGATGACCTCCTCTTCTTTATAACAAACCCGCGCATCACGCTGCCCTGCTTGATGAGGGAATTTGATGACTATGGAGAAATATTGGGCCTCAAGCTGAACCTCATGAAGTGCGAAGTGCTCAATGTCTCTTTTCCGTAGGAGGAACTTACTACCCTAAGACCTCACTTCTATTTCCGCTGGTGCGACGAAAAAATTAAATACCTGGGTACATGGATGACAGAGAACCCGGCTGAATTATAAAACTCTAACTTTGAACCCCTCCTACGGAAAATCTTGGGAGACCTCAGAAGCTGGGCCTACCCACACATATCATGGCTGGGTCGTATAGTGGTCCTTAAGATGAATATTCTACCAAGGCTGCTTTACTTATTTCAAGTAGTGCCATTGTCTCTACCCAAATTGTTCTTCTCCACCCTGAAAACTGCAGTGATCTGATATGTCTGGAAAGGGGAAAGATCGCACCTTCGATACAACTTGCCATGCATACCTAGGCAGTGGGGGCGGGGGGCCTGGCCCTTCCAGATTTTAAAAAATACCATCAAGACTCTGCATCGGATTTTTGACAGGCACGCCGCACGCCCTCATCAGCAATGGCCAGCCTTGGACTGGGGAGGATCGTAAATGTCTACGTGGCTGGGGAAGCCTGAAACCCTGGACAGGAACAAGGATACTTCGCCTGTCGCAAACACCCTCAGGACTTGGAGATCCGTCCACGGTCGCAACACATCTCCCCTGTGCCGAGTACCCTGATACTGCTACAATATAACACATATCCCCTAACGCTTGGGCTTACATTGATAGAGGACCTAACATCCTCATACGGAAGACCTTAGGCAGTACAGACATGAAGAGCCTACAAGACATTATGTTGGAAACAGCCCCAACGCCTCTTCATACATTTTGCCACACCCAGTTGCGGCACTACTATGGGCAGATGAACAACAGAACAGAGCTACATCATAATCTCACGTGGTTTGAAGACACCTGCGAAAAGGGCACACCACAGGAGAAAACGGTCTCTCTACTTTACCAACATCTACTGGTGGGGGGGGAATAAAAACACAAAGACAACCTTTAATAGGCAATGGGAGGAAATGCTGGGTACAACATTCACGGATGCACAGTGGGAAAAGGTCCTTATCCTGAACCATAAGAGCTACATCAGCTCCAGACTTCAAGATACCAATAACAAGCTTCTGTCCAGCTAGTATCGCACACCTACCCTCCAACATAGGATACTCCCAGAGGTCTCGACCTATTTTTCCCTGACCCTCACAGGACAGGGATACTAAAGTATCATGGAACTGGAGATAGGTATATGTGCCCCTGAAATGTGTGCAGGAGCGTGGTGGGAGACGTGGCTACAAGAAATGTTCAATTTGAACGGTTTGTGCCCCCTCTCTGATACCAGTAACCATATGCATCAACTCCTACTGATTGGGCAGACAACCAGGCAGCAGGCATTGACCCAGTACATAAATGTCACGGAGGGTTAACTCAAGTTGTGTAGAAGGGGGTGACTCCAAATGCATGATGTGCAGCCTAAACCAGGCGCATCAGCAAATAAGGGAAATATTAACTGCTTCCACAAGAGTAGTAGGGTCCACTTTGTAAATATGCTGAGGTATGTTTTTCTTTTACAACCGCCGATATTCAATTACAATCTCTTAATGTACATCCAGGAGAATTTGAAATGCTGTATTTCCATTTTGGAGCTTACATGCTCTCCATGTTTCTTTACATTTCCTTATTCTTGAAATACTCAAAGAAAATACGATCTACCAAAAAAATATAATTTATAAACCGCTTTCAAATTGTTTGACAAAATCTTTGGATGGCGCCCATAGACTCTCGGCAGGATAACCACTGCACTGATTTTTATATTGCTTATAGTGCCCCTTTAATTTCTACAAATCATGTGTCAGGTGTCTGTGCAGACTCTAGACTCCTTCTGTTTGTAACTTGCTAATGTTAAGTAACAAACAGGCCCTACTTATTTAATAAAAGGTTTGGATACAGTTTAGTTATTTATACCTGAATGGATCCCAGCTCGGATTCTTAACAATGTGTTAGGCTTATGTGGAATTCGAAATGTCTTGCAGACAGCAACTAGATCTAATGCCATGCTTGCAATTTCACTGGCATGTGTGATTCCATTTTTTTTGGGAACACCAGAAACAACCATATCTGGGAAAAAAAAATACAAAATTATAATTAACACAAACTGAGCAGTTCTTTTCATCTTGTCTGGAGCATTTTCACACGGAGAAGGAACCATAATTGAAAAGGAGTGAATTATTGAATAAAAAAAAAAAGAAAAAAAGAGAGAATTACTGCAGAAGAAAAACTGGAGCTAAGTAGTCATTAACAAAGGGAATTCAAATTAACATAGATTTATTTCAACAACTTTAGTCATACAAGCAAAAATATAAAAAAAATTCAAAAGCAAAGAGACATTGAGAAAAACCTTGGGGAGGACATTAGCCATTAGGCTAATGGCCACTCACAGTCATTAGGGGCCAGCTGTGGGTGGTCAGGGACCCTTATTTAGTGTTTTACTACTTGAAAATGGTTCAAAAGCTGGGACAATGCCTTGTACTCCAGGCATTTTAACCGATTCAATTAGATAAAATGGTTACAGTGCCTACAGTGTCCCTATAATGCATTTTAAACATATTATAATCAACTTAAAAATCATCCAAAATAGTTTTTTCTAATGTTTAGTGTAAAATGCAAAATGTAAGTAAAAGGCAATATGTTGCTTTGCCAGTAAATTACATGCTATATTTTTGCATTTAATTCAAAATGCATTACATGTTCTTTTTTAAATAATTCCCTTTAGTACTGGTCTAAAAAAGTTTCTTCCAATTATGGAACCTGAAAACTCTGGTTCTATCTGCAATGAAACCTGTCATTAGTTTTCAACAATCTACTAGGAGCTACAGGGCTATATGCATTAAAACCAATATATTCACTAGCAAAAGGTTTCTTTTAGCACTGAACCTTAAACTTTTTTCAACCACTTGGCACACGCCTTTATCTGCCATCAAAACAATTAAATCCTGGCTGATAGTCCCTTTAATTTTATTCTATTTACTGCTCTAACGTGAAACAATTGTAAACATCTGATGATCAGATCATCAGATCTCTTGTTTTTTATTTTTGTTTTTCACCTTTTAGTTTTTTTAATCTTATTTGAAATTAAACTTCACACTGTCTCATCTGCTGTTCTATTCAAACATTGGGCTGTAAAAAGCCCCGGTTCAAATTCCCTTTATATTGTAGCTAATTATTTTACTTAATTATCTGACTTACGTTATTTATGTTAATGGATGCCAGAGAACAGTTAAAAATGTCTCGTTTATCACAATCACATCGTTGCAACACTTTGAAAAATCATTCTCATCATTATCAGGCCAGTGAAAATGAACAAAGGTTAAACGCTCAAGGTTTTAGGAAAAACCTCACAGTTAAAAACAATACCTAATACGGGGTACACAAAGGCGGTTTGAGAGAACTTGGGGGCTATGGAGGGAGAACCACCTCGCAGACTAGGTAAAAGGCGGGGACACGGCTGACGCGGCTCTCCCCCTCCTCTCCTCGTCCTGCCCTGGCTCCCTCCCTCAGCCTCCTCTTCCCGTCCTCCTCCCTCCTCGGCCTCCCCGGCCTTCCCCCTCCTCCTGCCCACCCGGAGCTGGAATATTACCCCTCCCTCCCCTCTCCTTCTCTTGCTCTATTACTATCGCTGTCTACTTTCTAGTCCCTCTCTTTCTTAGGCCCCAGCCTTTTCAGGGGGCCTTCTATCACACACAGATAGCACCCATAAGCGTAGATTGCGTTAGGACGCTAACAGTAGCTTTATCACCCTACTATGAAGGACATATTAGAAGAGGGTGGGTGGTGGGGTGGGAGCGAGAGCAGGAAGAATATAGATAACAGAAATAGGGAATAAGAAGAAGGAATAACACAAACGCTGTTGAAACCATAGAGCGCATTACCCCCGTTAGTGAAATGGCGCCGCTGGCCGGCCGGCCCCACCACCTGTGACCAGGACAATAGTTAATCTTTAAAATCCACAGCACAAACATGAAACTGACCCGAGTTATTAGCCCTTCCTAAGTGACGAGCATATTGGGCTAACTTGCACGTGGTGCTGACCTACAATTAAATTAGCTCTATACCATCTCATGCTGTCAGTCTCAAAAACCTAGGCTTGACCATAAGACTAATGCTGAACCCTTATTATTAAGCATCATTATTTGAATGTCAAAGTAATATAAAAACTGTGCCTTTGTTATATGCCATGTATATGCTATTTTTTTGTTCTTATTCTTTGCTTATGTTGTCATGACAACACGAACCTCTGTGCCACTTCGAGCACACAAAAATAAAGAATAAAAAAAAATTAAAAAAAACAATACCTAAAATATAGGTGTTTGTGCATGAGCAGGAAAATATTAAAGGAACCGTATAGTGTCAGTAATACAAACATGTATTCCTTACTCTATAGTACCCATATAGCTGTTTAGGTCCCTTGCCCCACTTAGATCGCTCTGAAATGCTGATTTTACTCACCTTTTTTCCTACATTGTGCCTGTCTCACTGTGGCTGTCTCCACCTTGTCCTGCCTCCGTAACTATGCAGCATTGACACACTAAACACTTCTAGACTGTAAGCTCGTTTGAGCAGTGTCCTCTTCAACCTATTGTTCCTGTAAGTTTTCTTGTAATTGTCCTATTTATAGTTAAATCCTCCCTCTTATAATAATGTAAAGCGCTACGGAATATGTTGGCGCTATATAAATGGCAATACTAATAATAATAGTGGCCGTATGAGTGACTGCCATTAGTGGTGTTCCTATGCACCAATGTAAACACTGCCTTTTCTCTGAAAAGTGTCCCTTTAACCCCTTAAGGACACAACTTCTGGAATGAAAGGGAATCATGACGGAATATTTTCGTCATGTGTCCTTAAGGGGTTAACTAACAATTCATTGTTAATCAGTTACACGGCTAAACAGGACAAATAAACCCCAGAACTAATATAAAACATATTCATAATAATACACATACACATATATAATTAAAAGGTCAATTTAAACACTAACGTACTACATTCCCCCTACGGAATATTATAGGCTAATTACACATCTATTGCCTGTCAGCAAATGTACTTAGTTGTCTGTGACCTTCAACCTGTAGTTTAATCAAAGGTCCACAAAGGTGCCATTTTTTAAAATGTATTTTGTTATCGTGATAATATCAGCCTATCAAGCTAGAGATTGCAGGAATAACAATGAAATCACAGTTTAGCCCAGTTTAAAAAAAATGTTTTATGACTTCCATTAAAGGGACACTATAGTCACCAAAACAACTTTAGCTTAATGAAGCAGTTTTAAAGTATAGATCATGAACCTGCAGTCTTACTGCTCAACTCTCTGCAATTTAGGAGTCAAATTCATTTTGTTTGTCCATGCAGCCATAGCCACACCTGCCCTGGCTGTGACTCACACACCATGCATGAAAAAAAAAAAAGGTTTCACTTTTAATTAGATGTAACTTACTTTAAAAGTTCTTATTGCCTGCTCTCTAAAGTGAACTTTAATCATACACATGAGGCTTCTGGGGAGTCTAGCAAACTATCAACAGTGCAGGGGATAATACATTTTAAATTAAATAGAATTTGCAAAGAAAGAAGTATAAACATTAGCTGACTCTTTACAGGAAGTGTTTAGGAAGGCTGTGCAAGTCACATAAACAAAGTGATTTAATTCCTAAATGGCAGAGAATTGAGCAGTGACACTGCAGGGAAATTATTTATACGCCAAAACTGCTTTAATAAGCTAGAGTTGTTTTGGTGTCTATAGTGTCCCTTTAAACTACTGTTACAAAAATGGTTTGTGAAATCCTGATCATGATCTCTTTGATAACGAATACAGGATACTGGTAGAATGGAGAACCCAATTGATTGGCTTACTAGGTAATAAACGTTAGAATCCCCTTATTGGGCAATTGATGTAGACGAGAGTCAAAGGAAAAAGAAAGTATGAGGGAAAATGGAAAATAATATGAAATTTATACTGTATGCAATGTGTATTTTCGAAACCCTATTGTCATGTTGTCTAACTAACTTCCAGAGGAAATATTTAAGCAAAACATAGGATATGCAGATCTTAGTGACATGTGACAGTCCTGCCTTTAGAAATATGACTTAGAGAGTTTAAAGTTAGCAAATAACTGAATAACCCAGCAAATAACTGAATACTCCATCTATGTTTGCCAAATAAACCTGTCCACTGTTATATCTCACCAGATAGATAAATCAGACTAATGCCATTGAGAAAAGCACGGTTATAACAGGAGGACAAATTGGAATATCATTGAGAATAGAGGAATACAATAAGATTAGTAAGCATAAAAGGGGGTTACTGTGGCTGTTGTGCAACACTGAATCATTTAAAGGACCACTATAGGCACCCAGACCACTTCAGCTTAATGAAGTGGTCTGGGTGCCAGGTCCAGCTAGGATTAACCCTTTTTTCTGTAAACATAGCAGTTTCAGAGAAACTGCTATGTTTACCTATGGGTTAATCCAGCCTCTAGTGGCTGTCTCATTGACAGCCGCTAGAGGGCTTCCGCGCTTCTCACTGTGAAAATCACAGTGAGAAGACGCCAGCATCCATAGGAAAGCATTGATAATGCTTTTCTATGGACTGGCTGAATGCGCGCGGCTCTTGCCGTGCATGTGCATTCAGCTGGTGACGGAAGAAGAGGGAGGAGAGGAGGAGGAGAGCTCCCCGCCCGGTGCTAGAGAAAGAGGTAAGTTTAACCCCTTCCACCCCCTAGAGCCTGGCGGGTGGGGGCACCCTCAGGGCACTATAGTGCCAGGAAAATGAGTATGTTTTCCTGACACTATAGTGATCCTTTAACAATGTATGGAAAAATCTCTTGTCATCATTTGAAGCATCAAGAACACAGTGAAACCATCAAAATTAACAGTATATGACTGCGTGGTTTTAGAAATTACTAATGCAATTTTAATAACCTAAAATCTATTTTGCTTTTTTAATTTAATCTCTATATTAGATTTACTTATACTTCACTGGTCATATTAAAGCCTACTTTTAAGAGTGCAAAAAAAAAATATTGCTGGGTGCCTACAGATGGGAGATCTTGAAATTCTATTGTACACATTGAGACGGCAACCAAGCAATGCTAAGTCATAGTCCACCTGTAAATAAATCTTACAACTTAGGAGAAACTTATGGATTCCCAGGTGTTCAATTAATTTTTTAAAGACTAGGAGGAATGCTGAATGCATCAGACTCTGTGGAATCTTGAGTGAAAAGAGAGAGATAAGTATATAGGGCAAGATCTGCAATCCATTACTGTCATAAATTGGTGTAGATGTGGATAATGTGCACGATGATATAAGCCCATTAAACCAAATACTGCAGTAAGCGAAAAGACCTGAAGTTTCACCCAGCATATTCCTACAGGAAGGCAGTCACGTGCAGTAACAGAGTATGAAAGTCCACCTTCTAAAGATATGAAAGCATGTCTAAGTCAGCAAGCGATTCACATCAAATTTTCATTTGGTGAATGTAGAAATGCATGCCGGCCCAGTAGTGATGGGAGTGAGCGCAGGACTTATCTTTTTGTATTTGTATTTACTTTGTATCACACAGCCTTGTTACAATGCTGCCGCCCATCCCATGTGTTCCCTATTAAGGGTTAATAAGTATATAGGGGTGTATATACAAAATACCCCTCTGTCATTAGAGATATCTTTGCCAGAAGCTCAAGGAAGCAGGCTGAAGGGTCAGTGTTAGGACCCGCTTTAGGGGGGTCTGCCTTGACGTTGGCAGGCGGGCATTCCCTCCAATGGCCATTGGAGCAACTAAATGACCTCCATTGGTCTAAATATACATAGGGATTAAGGAGAGAGCGCAGGTAACTTTTTCTTTTCTTTAATTTTTACTATATATTGGGGCTGATGTGTACTGTAGTCATTGCAGTAGTGATGGAAGTGAGCGCAGGACTTATCTTTTTGTATTTGAATGCAGAAATAGATCAGAAAATAAGGGTATAATTGGCTCCTTCATGGGGTCTGCATGGTAACAGCAATACAAAATGAAGTCTTCACTTCATGCAATCAGGAGTAGTTCTTATATCAGCTACTCTCAGCTTCTTGTAGGCTCAATATATAAATATATTGTAACTGAAAGTATTGTTATGTTAATATAAATATGTCCACCAACTGAACAGGAGAGAGATCATGAAAAAGTAGCTGAACAAGTACTGACATTAAAAAATACCTGTAATTCCTCTACAACTTATGTTCATTTTAGCTTGCATGAGACTTCATTTACCTCTTCCGAGGTAAACAATGCACACAGCCATCCACCTGATCTAAAATAAACTGTGAGTCAACAGATCAGGCAGCCATCTTCCACTGCTCCATGTTCCTGTTCTGATTTTTACGTTCCCACTAATGGCACTTTTGGCAGTGGAGAGGGGTCATCATGGGTACTCTGAAAGGACTATGCAGCCCCATACATAGCAAACTGTAATGCACTTCTATTATGGCGAACATTAAGTTTTCCAGCAAGTTGAGTTACAGTAGCTCTTCTGTGTGATCAGAACAGATGGACTTGCCTTCACTCCCCATGTGCATTAAAAGGACTTAAAAGGACACTATAGCCACCTGAACAACTTCAGCTTAATGAGATTGTTCAGGTGAGAACAATAGCTCCCTGCAGCCTTTCTCATGTAAACACTGTATTTTCTGAGAAAATACAGTGTTTACCTTGGAAGCTAGCAACACCTCCAGTGGCAGTCACTCAGACGGCCACCAGAGGGACTTCCGAGTTCAGGGCTGCCTAACTCGCATTCATCACGTTTGACGTCTTCACACTTGGATGAATACATCAAACGTGATATCAGGAGGCACTGTGAACGTGCCTCCTGTGCCTGTCAGCAATCAGAGCCAACTGTGTGAGATAACGATCTCCTGCACACAGCGTGGGCTCGGGCTGACAGGCTATCACACTGAAGGCAGGAGACTGAGCAGGAGGATCTACTGACTTCAAACAGTAAGTAAACTTATTTTAAATTGAGAGTGAGTGTGAGAGAGTGTTTTGAGAGTGTGAGTAAGAGATTGAGTGAGATTAAAAGAGTGAGTTGGAGTGAGTAGGAGTGTGAGTGAGAGAGAGTGAGTGTGAGTGAGAGAGATTGAGAGTGAGTGAGATTGAGAGAGAGTGAGTGAGAGAGAGTGTGTGTGTATGTTTAACAATATTTATCTCTAGATATATAGTGTTTGCATACAAACTTTTGGCTTAGGAGGGTTGTCGTAGGAGGAGGGCAGGCATAGACAGTGAGATAAGCGCTAAACAAAGAGAAGCATCTGATTGAGCCCTGCTATTTTGTCATTTTTACGAAAAAGGGAGCGTGACCTGCCAAGGAGCTCGACGCTGGAACGGAGGTAAGTTTATATGATAAAAAGGGCTCAAATGTATTTATTTTTAATGGCAAACTAATATAAAAGCAAAAAAGAAGGCTAGAGGACCTGTCTTTCTTGCTTTTATATGTTGACTATAGTGATCCTTTAATTAGCCTTGGGCATCCATGACCTTGACTCCTGTTCACCATTTGTCCTTCCTTGCACTACTTTTGGTATGTACTAAACACTGCATACTGGGGACACCACACAAAATGTGCAGTTATGGAGATGCTCTGACCTAGTTGTCAAGCCAGCACTATTTGACCCTTGTCAGTGCCGGACTGGCCCACCGGGATACTGGGAAATTTCCCACTGGGCCGATGGCACCTGGGGCCGGGCAGACAGCTGGGTGTGCTGGTGGCCGCAGGGGGAGCTGCGATGGCGGCCACAGTGGGAGATGTGCTGTCTCCGCTCCCCTGCCCTCGCGCGCTGCTTAATGGGGCCGTCATATTCCGGCCCCAGTCTCATTAAGCTGCATGCTGGGGAGCAGAGACAGCACATCTCCCCCTGCTGCCGCCATCACAGCTCCCCCTGCGGCTGCCAGCACACCCAGCTGTCTGCCCTGCATGACCCCCTGGCCAGTCACCCAGAGTCAGGTAGCAATAATGTGTCGATGTGTGTGTCTGTTTGTCTGTGTCATGGTGTGTATGTGTCTGTCATGGTGCATCTGTGTCATGGTGTGTGTGTGTGTCTGTCTGTCATGGTGCGTCTGTGTCATGGTGGGTGTGTCTGTCTGTGTCATGGTGTGTGTGTGTCTGTCTGTGTCATGGTGTGTGTGTGTCTGTCATAGTGTGTCTGTCTGTCATGGTGTGTGTGTCTGTCATGGTGTGTGTGTCTGTCATGGTGTGTGTGTGTCTGTGTCATGGTGTGTGTGTCTTTTTTGTGTCATGGTGTGTGTGTCATGGTGTGTGTGTGTGTCTGTCTGTGATGGTTTAGGTGTGTGTCTATCATGGTGTGTGTGTCTGTCTGTGTCATGGTGTGTGTGTCTGTGTCATGGTGTGTGTGTGTCTGTCATTGTGTGTGTGTGTGTCTGTGTCATGGTGTGTCTGTCAAGGTGTGTGTGTATGTGTTTCTGTCATGGTATGTGTGTGTGTCATGGTATGTCTGTCATGGTGTATGTGTGTGTCTGTGTGTTTAAAAATAGTGTTTTTACTCACCTTTTTTTTTCCCACGCCGTGGTGGTCTCTCCTCGACTGGCCCTGCCTCTATGGCTGAGATCATCAAGCTTGATGATCTCAGCCAATCCAATGCTTTGTCATAGGATTGGCTGCAAAATTAGCTTCTCCTCATCGAGATGCATTGAATCAATGTATCTCTATGGGGAACATTCAGAGCCTCCAGAGCGTGGAGGCCCTGAATGTAGGTGCTGCACACTGTGCAGCACTGACACCGGAAGCACCTCTAGTGACCGTCTGAGTGACTGTCACTAGAGGTGTCACTAGGAAGCAATGTAAACCCTGCCTTTTCTCTGAAAAGCCAGTGTTTACATTGAAAAGACTGCAGGGACAGGCTATAGACACCAGAACCACTACATTTAGCTGTATGTACATTAAGCTTGCTTGCATGTGTGTGCGCCTGCTAGTGATTGAGCTTGTGTTTTTATGTCAATGAGCTTATGTATATCAGTGAGATTGTTTGTCTATGAGGCTGTGTATCAATGTCAGTGAGATTGTCTGTGTCTGCATGTGAGTATGCTTACCGTATAATTAAACGTTTTACTCTGAAAGGACCAATATTTTATATTAGAAAAAGCTATATATATATATATATATATATATATATATATATATGTAACGGAGCTCCCTGTACTCCGACCGAGTACCCTCCGTTGATGGATGCTCCTAGCGCTTCCTGAGGACTCCAAACACTGCAGCCGACACCACAACCACTGCAGACTCCACAACCGCCGTAGCTTAACTGGAGTCTCGCCGTCTTCCTTCCACCCTGGATCAGCTTCTGTCCTCCAGGACCGTGTGGGGAAGACCTCTCCTCCAGGAGAGCGTAACAGGAACAGCTCTTAAAAGAGCTAAGTGATTAAAAGCTCAGGGGAGTATGCAGAGCATAGCAATCCCCAGTGTGATATAGCAGTTCCCTCCAATAACGAGACAAGGCTACGTATTGAGGGTCAAGAAGATCTCATGTTTAATGGCACACACTCTGCTTTTATGAGATTCTGCCCATGCAAGGGAGACACCCACATAATTAGCAGTATAACCAATCAGAACAATATACATTCGGGGAAATTCCCATCCCTCAGATAATCACATAACATAATTAAAACAGAACAGTAAAAATACAGTTTTTATACATGTACTATAACTTCCAAACTACACATCCAATCTTCATAAAAATTACATATTTGGAATCAATCCATTAAGGGGAGCAACATATTAAAAAATGGCACAAATCAGACAAGGGGTTCAAAAGTTAGCAAAAGTGTCTTTTGGGGCCTGGCTGGCAGCATGGTTTTCTGGCCCAAACCGGTTTTACAGAGGCCTCTATCCTGGACAATGGGGAAAATAATCCAATTATCCAGAGATAGAGGCAGACTCCATTAACCACATGTTAGCAAAAGACACAAAAATACATAACTCCTATTGAACTGAACAGAACCCCCACATTCAACCTATCCCCAGATGGCTTGGATCTGAGCGCTCAATATATCCAAACAGCGCTCAGATCCCACAAATACAGTCAAATCGCCATACACACTAGGTACATAGTCATGGGGCAGAAGGCTGGCAATTAGGCTTCTCCATAACACAAGGAAGCAGGGCAATTTGTCAAATAAAATAACCGTTACAAATGGCAGTTTGTAACAATATATATCTCAATCATCTGGGGTGGCAAGACATTACATATTACGCCTTACATATTACATGCGACAATACATGACGCAATGTCTTATGGGGCTGGCATAGATTTTTTTTCCCAGGGCTGCTTTGTATCCCCAGTCCGGCACTGACCCTTGTCAAAGTAACATCATTTAGCTTGTCGCTTTTGTAACTTCCAACACAACTCAAATTCCACAAATGACTGGTCACTTGCTATATATCCCACCCCTTAACAGGTGCCATTTTCATGATATAATATGTTATTTCACTTCTGCTGGTTTTAATGTAGCTGATTAGTGTATAAATCTAAGGTAACCGTTCAGAGTGCAAATATAGTGCAAAAATAAGATGATGGAAACTGCTTACCTGTAAGCAGGGAATTTAATTCACACAATATTGACATTCAGCTTTGCAATCAGGGCTGAGTGGTAATAAGTGTACCATATAATTTTTTTAAACAAATCGTTAAAAATAATTCAGAAATTCCCCCAATTCACTCAAGACCAATTTCCAAGTCAGTCATCCCTACCTGTTCTAGATGACAGCCACTAGAAGAGCATGCATTGCAATGACTGAATTTCACTCAGTCATGTAACATTTGACGTCCACGAGAACATTGCATGTTATCAGATGCAGCTCACATAAAAGCATTGGATTAGATGCTTCCTTATAAGAGGCATTTGATTAATATGTGCACGGCACTTGCCATGCATGCACATCTCATTCCTATTGCTTAACGAGGAGCATTGGATTGGGCAATCATTGTAGAAGCGACTCTTTCAGGATGATGTCACAGGTGTAGGAGTAGGCAGCATTACAGAGTGAGTCTATGAAAAACATAACTAAAACCTTTTTTCTCTATTTTTTTCTACAGGTGAAAAGGGCATGGGAGGTTAGTTAGGCCATAGTGTTCAGTTAACTCTGACCTATCTCATATTACACCAAATCACCAGGCAGTATTCTAGCATTGGTTAATGAGGCACTGTCCACAATCCCAACCAACATAGACCAACAAGCTCATATATGCCACAGCATTAATGATCCTCTAAATTCTTAACTACAAGATAGGGCTGAAGGAGACAATGCCCACCGTAGAGAATAAGACTGGAAGCCAAGATATAGGCAACACGTGAGGAAGTTAGTAAGCTGCCTCAACTTCACAGAGGTGAAAAGCTCAAGGATAGATCCTGGCTACTGAGAAATAATGGTATTCCCTTACTCTGCAAACAGCTAAGCAGAAGCTGACAGCACAGGCAACCAGACTTGGCAGATACACTAGATCCTCAGTAAAGGTGAGGGGGGACATAAATTAATTTATTTTTATTAAAAAAAATTATAAAAAAAGTCCCCCTAACCTCCTTACCACACATTCACACACTGCCCCCCCATACACATACACTGATCCCCCCACACACAGTGCCCCCCCAATACACACCTACACTGCCCCACACACACATACACTGCCCCACACACACAGACATACATTGCCCTCAAACACACACTGCCCCCATACACACCATACACATTCACACACTGCCCCCCACACACACACACACACACATTGCACCACTCACACACACCACTGCTCCTATGCCCTACTACAGCCCCATATCCAAGCAGACCCCAGGTAAGTTGTCAAACTGTTCTTAAACGGTTTGACTACTTAATCTGTGAGGGGGTCCTGGCACCATAAACACTACACAGAGCTGTAGTGGTTATTGTGCATGGATTGTTTCTTTAAATAATCTACAAATGCCCCTCCCGAGATCAGGCTCTGGATCCGTCACTGCCTAACGGGTAAGTGGAAAACAAAGATAGAAGCAGATTTCAGGACAATAACACAAGTGACTATCAAATGTGGCCACCAATGTGATGCACTATTCCCAATGCTGTTCTGCATGGGCCTCAATCCCGTAGCCTCACCATGAAGAATGGTTATGGATACAGGTTCCATATAGGAGTAGGAGAATACACAAAAATTTCACCCGGAGTTGTCACAATCTTACTCTGCAACTATGTGGCTTATAAAATAAAGTATTAAATAAAAACAAAATATATGCCCTTTAGGGGGCCATTGTCACACTCTACATTTTGGCTGCCTCTAAAATTGTCTCTGTGTGAGGCTGGCAGGTAAATTTAAAGACATGCTAAGCACCAGAATCACTACACCATAATGTAGTGTTTTTAAGAGAGTGTTCCTGCAGTCTCATCATTGCTTCCCATGGCCATCTGAGTGGCAGCCACTACAAGCCAATCCTGGTACAGTTCTGAAACATTTGTTTATATGTCATTGATATATTCATTATATATTGTACTCACAGGCATCACCTATTGTTTCCACTTTATAGACATCATAGTTGTCGATGATTTCATCAAATGTTGTGTATAGTTTGTTGAGGAAATCCACTACTTGGTAAGGTGTACTGGTGCTGGACAAATGGGTAAACCCAACAATGTCACTAAAAATCAAAGCAAAACAAAAAAAAAACATTGATGACTAAATTACGGATTATTATTATTAGACAATTTTTTATTTAATACATATGTAATCATTTCAAATAAAAAAATTTCCTTTTAAAATGTACAAAATTAACAAATGAGAAAAGCAGGTGTTTTTCTTTCTTTAGCAGACTTTTTTTTTGCTTCAACTATAGAATTAGTTGAGAAGCCTGGGCCATGATCATATAGTTGTATCTATAGTTCAATTCACAAAACGTTAATGATACTGCATATA